TGCCTCCAATTTACAAATCAAGTTAAGTGAAATTTGAAGAAAGGGCTTAATTTGCTCAAGGTGAGGTTGCAAGTAAGCGTTGGAGTCAGAGTATGAACTCAGATTGGACATTTTTACAAAACTGATTCCCATTTTACAAGTCTATGGTTCTCTACAACGATAATAACCTTAACAGAGTAGCTACAAGATGCCCAGAATCATGCTAATTCACATAAAGTATTAACACTCTCAAAGATTCTGGATATTCTTATTACATTTCACATATGAAAACGGAGGCTTGGGGAGGTTACATACATTAACCAAGGTTGTGGTAGTAGGTATGTCCTAGAAACTGATTCTGAACTCACAACCCGGGCTCTTGGCACCTGTGTGATGCTGCTTTCTGGTCTTCTGTAGAAGAATGAAGAGACACTCAGAGGCCAAGAGAAAAGCCAGAGCCAGGACTGGATGGGTTTGTACATCAGGAGAGAAAGCCTAAATCTTTTTCCAGAGCTAGTTTTTAGATGGGTAAAAGCAAGGAGGTAGGGAACAGCATGAAGGATTCTGGGAACCTCCTCCACCTGTTTCCTCATCTATTAAATAAGAAGTTGGGTCAAATAATATCTAAATTTCTTTTAATTTTTTTTACTTACATTTTGTATCATTCTCTTCCTTACAGACTCTCAAGTGGCTTCCCTGGACAATTAGTATAAAATCCTTACTGGATTCATGGTCTGCAACCCTTGCCTGCCTCTGATTTCACTACTTGTCTTCTCTTCCTCATCCCTAAACAAATGTCACAGGCTGTTCTAGAAAAACTTCCTTGCTTGGGTCCTCTATGCTTGCTGTTTCTTCTGCCTGAAATGTCCTTTCCCAGATCTTTCCTCAGTGGATGCTTCCTTCCATAGGACTTCCATGACCACTGTAGCAGAAGTAGCACTTCCTCCCTTGTGATTCTCCAACTCATTTCCATTTTATTTTCTCCTCATTCATCATTAATGTTGGAAATTCACTTCATCCCTGTTGTTTGTTTATTCATCGATACCATCCCCATCCATCAGGCTCCCTGGTTGGTGGCTTTAGCCTCTGAGCTGATGCCCACACAACATAGTGTTCAAAAAGATGTGTTAAATGAAAAAAAAAAAATCTGTTAAATGAATGGACTCACATTGTACATTAAAAACAAAAAACCAAACCAAAACAAGCACATAATAGGAGCTCAAAAAACATACAACAGCAAAAATGATAACTAACATTTATTAAATTCTAACTATTGGCATGATGCTAAATCCTTTACACAATTATATTATTTAGTCCTCACTACAACTCTCTGAGATAGGTACCATTTTTGTCCTATTTTTAAAGGTGTAAAGCTGAGTTGGGAGTGTAGCTCAGAGGTAGAACATTTGCCTAGCATTAATAAAGTCCTGGGTTCTACACCCAGCAGCACAAAAAATAAAGAAATAAACAAGAATTTTTTAAAAATAGTATGGGAAACTGAATCTTAGTAAGAGCAAAGAATTTTCCCAAAGTCATAGAGCTGAGCTAGTAAATTAACCCAGATTTAAGACTAATTTTATTTTAACACAATGTTATTTTAAACTGACTGGCTTTTGTAAAGTAGAATTGCGGTTTCTTCCATTTGGATTAGTAAATGTCATAATTTTAAAGAGCTTTAAGTGAGTAGGTTCTACACGTATCCTGTCCTGGGGCTCAGGCTAGATAAAGGACATTAGGCACCCAGGACAGAGGTAAAATCATGAAACACAGTTCCCACACTCAGAGGCTCAGTGTAATACACAAAATATTCAAGTGTGATAGAATGGACTGCTATATGGCCCAAACACTCCTCATTCCTCCCACAAAGAAAACTTCTGAGGCTGGAAGCAGACCCCTCTTAAATTGTTCCCTTGAACCTTGCCTAGATGTTTACCTTTGCATTCATTACATCAGGTTCTTTTAAGCACTGTCTAGGAAGAATTGAATAGCTATCACTTACTGAGTGCCATCAGGTGGCAGGTGATTGATTATATTCACTAATTTAATTCTTGTTTTTCTGGGGAATCTTTTTTTCCCCCTTGGGGCATGTTATACATAATAGTGGCATTTGTTATTAGACATTTATATATGTGCAAAATAAAACATAATTTGCTCAATTTCATTCCACAGTACCTCTCACTAATTTAATTCTTACAATAACCCTAGCTAGGGTCGTTGTCATTATTCTTAACAAATGGGCAGTCAATAGCTTATTGAGGTGGATGATTAGAATCTAGTGTCTAATTATAAAGTGGTGTCACAAAAACTAGGCTAGAGGGATCTCTGAAATGATCTATGGGAACCTCAAGAAGTAGTGGCTCTTAGCCTTCATATATATATATATATATATAATTGAAACAACTATAACACATCTGGGGTTTTAGTTAAATATTTAATAAATCACATATACCTCACTGTAAAGTATGTTAACAATATCTTTACATTTTTGTGGGAAAAGCAAATACTTTTCATTTTTATTTTGTATTTTCACCAACATTAATATGTTAAAGCTTTTTTATTATAATGGAAACAGACATCAAGTGTTTTTTATATTTTCCCCATATATATCATTTTTCTCCCCCACCCCCTCCCTGGGTAGAGGTAAAAATCTTTCTTCAGATACTATCAGTTTTTTTAAAATTTAGAATTATTTTTAAATGAACCAATCCTTCTCTTAGTAGAAATGCAGTTACTATTTTTCATTAAAAAAAAATTAAATAGTGTCTGGCAACCAGTGAATCATGCATGACAGTTGGTTAAGAAGGCGCTTAGGAAAGTTAGGTTGTGACTGATCTACAGGAAGGCACAAAGCCACCTCCATTATTAAAAAAAAAATGATAAGAAAAAAAATGCTGACAACCACTGTAATACCAAAAATGTGAATAAAATGTGAACCCAGCGGTGAGCATGTGACACTCTCTGAAACAGCAGCTCTGTGGAGAAGGTCTTATCCCACAGAGAACTAGCAGAGACCAGGGAACATCCCCCAACAATAGTCTTGGTAAACTGCAGTTTGGTGGTGCTTGAAGTTTGAGGGATATTTTATAATCAAAATATGCTCCCCTTCCATCCATGTATTAATAAAGCCACAACCCAGCTTTACAGGAAATGAAGACCAGGATTCCTGCTGCTTTAGTAGCCTGGCTACCTTTACAGATCTTTAGAGCCCACTTGATATTCATGGGCTTTGTGCTCAACTCCCAGCATTTATCACTGGCATATTCTTAGGAAGAAGTGAAGAGTCTCACAGCAACTAGGAGTCCCTCTCCTTCTGACCTAATAAGTATTTTAAAATTATGCAAGGGATAAAAAATTATTTCACTGGCTCCCAAGAGGGACTATGCAACTACAGGGGTCAAAATAAAAGTTCTTCTCTGTGAACTATATTTTGTAATGGTCCTAGAAGTCTTAAAAATTCATTGATGCTCTTTAGCCTAAGAATTCCCTGTGACATCAACCAAAAGATTTATGCAGAGGAATACAATTTTCTAGTTTTAGAATAGAACAAGGAAATCTACACATGAATCATTTTTCTTTGTGGGTAGAACTGACTGGTAAATAATAGATAATGATTTTCTCATAGACACTGTAAAAATTTGCAGTCATACTTTATCCATTTATTTGTATATAGGTTTTTAAATATAAAGTAATGTGATATTAAGGCTGATACAATCACAAATAATGACATCCTACTTCAGTTCAATTCTTATATTATGCTCTCAAAGATCACAGAGACCACAGAACAGGCCCCCCCACCCCCCACCCCTCTGTATCTTTGTGGCAAAGTCTTTTGTGGCAAATAGAATTCTTTCTCCATTTAAAACAGCCAGACTTCCAGACTTTCCCATTAGGCACAGTAATCACAGGGCCTCAGGTCCACAATAGTTTTAGGTGTCCAGGAAAATCTGCTTTCTTAAAATCAGTTTTAGGTCAAAGAAACAAGAAAAGAACTACTAATGCAAACTGCCTTACAGCGCACGAAAATCATAATGGTGCCTGTCCTCAAAAATGCCCTTTTTATTAAATTATTCTGAGTGATTTCCTAAGTATGCCAGCTATAAATTCCCCAGAAAGTTCCATCTCTTGGAAAGACATTCTTTTACCTGATTTTCCCTTTAAAAAATGTGGTATTTTGAGGTTTTGGTGATTTTAAATCAATATGTATTCAACCAGGAATTCATCTCCCCCAAAGTTAATTTGTTAAATAAAAGAAGTAGTAAAGTAGAAGAAAATAAGCACTTTAAGTGAGGCCCTGCTGAGCTACATGGAAATGCAATCCCAGGCCTCCTGCGGGCGCGCTGGCAGGAGACCGCGGCTCCCGTCTCGCTTTATCCCACAGCCGTCCAGCAGAGGGCGCCTGGTTCTCAACACCCAGAGCTGTACGTTCCCCTGCGCCTCAAGGACCATATCCCTATTTGCCCCAAGGTCAAAGCTCCTAACCTAGCCAGCCCCAGGCCCGGGAGAGCTGAGAGTGAACCTTCGGTTTGAAACCCCGCGCGAGTCGGGCCGATGGGGCGGGACCGCAAGTCTCCAACGCCTGGGATACGCTCATAATGGGGACAGAAGATGAAGGGCACCCGGGGCCCGGGTCCCCAGCTGTCAGCGCCTCTGCCAGACTCGGTGCTCCGGAGGGGGATGGGGTGCGCATAGACGATCCGCAGCCCCGGTTGGACGGAGGAACCGGGAGCCGCCGCCACCACCACCACCGCCACCGCACACCGAGAGCTCGGAGGCTCTCCCAGGAACCCGGGGCCCGGGCCGCTGGCCGAGGGGAGCCGGGTGGTGAGACAGAAGCTCCCCAGCCCGGCCGGACGCCCGCCGCGAGGGCGTTTTCCCCGCCCCCGGCGCCTCGCCCGCCCAGCCCGCCCCGAGCACTGGGAGATCACCTCCGCCCGTCACCTCCTCCCCTGTCGCTCAGGTCCATCCAGGGTCCCCTCCCCTGGGCCGCCCCCGAGCACGAAGTTGGCGGGAGCCTATAAAAGCCGGTGGCAGTGCGACCCGCGGACACGCACCGTGCAGGCGCCCGAACAGCCACCGCTAGACAGGCGCCAACTCCTGCCTTGCCCCGACCGCCGGCGCGACCATGTCCCATCACTGGGGATACGGCAAGCACAACGGTGAGTGCGGGCGACTAGCGGCGCCGGGGCCCGATCCTGGATGCCTGCCCAGGCCCCGCAGCGCCCGCACCTGCTGTTTACCGCGGCCGCGGGGAGCGCGGGAGGCTCCGGAGAGCGGGAGGCTCAGGTGCGCCCGGGGCGCCAGCCTCTCCCGCGGCTCCCCTGCGCCCAGGATGCCCCCATCGCCCCAACTCCTTCGCACTGTCGAGGAATCCCGGCGTCCGCCGGCAGCGCGCAGGGCCCGGGAGAGGCAGGCGCCCGGGGCCCCTGTCCGTAGGACCCGAGGACAGTCGTTCCTGGGTCCTGAGCTGGGACCCTTTAACCTGATCTAGGAGGCTGCGGGGAAGGGTAGTAACGGAAAATTTTAGTTGATCACAGAGAAATTGAGCCCCTCTTCCATCCTGTCTGCTTCAGCACCACCTGTGGCTAAGATTCCCCGCACCAACTGTCCCGGGGCATTTTCTGGAGTTGCTTTAAATACATCGTTCTGATTCCCGAGTTTCCCCTTCATTTCTCGACTTCCAATGCTAGGGGTTCAGTAACCAAGATCCGGGCTTTATCATGGCCATAGATCTGGGTTTCCTGAGCAAGCGGAGGGAAGACAATGATGGTCTGGTGCGTCTTAGGCGAGCGGGGGGCGGGGGGGCTCCCCTTGTGGGGCTCTTGACTATTAAAGAAGGGGTGCCTGTGCATGAGCAGTGGCTCTGACCTTTCAACCAGTGCGAGGACACGAGGGAGGAACCAGGCGCTGTGTGGATACTTCGAGTGAGCTGGCATATCCCAAATCCCAGCCACAAGCTGATCTCAGTTGCTGAGAAGTAAAATGACTATGAAAATCGCTAATATTTATATGATGCTCTTTTCTCTAAAAGATTTATGTGTATTGACTCTAATTCTCACAACATCTATAAGATAAACTTATAATATTATTATCACATTCTGCAAATGAGGAAACTGAGGCATAGGTTGTTTTCTCAAAGGTTTTTCTAATATTAAGTGGTACCACCAAAATGGGAACTGAACAGATTGATTTTGGAACCCTTGCCTCTTTCTTGGGGGGGGGGGGTCTGGGTATATATCCATCCAAACATTTGGGGTATTCACATGTGTCTCCTCACCTTTCAGGACCAGAACATTGGCATAAGGACTTCCCCATTGCCAAGGGAGAGCGTCAGTCCCCTGTTAACATTGACACCAAAACAGCCAAGCATGACCCTTCTCTGAAACCTCTGTGCCTTTGCTATGAGCAACCGACTTCTCGGAGGATCCTCAACAATGGTCATTCTTTCAACGTGGAGTTTGATGACTCTCAGGACACTGCAGGTTAGTGTTTAAAGTGTGCCCTTTAGCTAGTAGCTGTATTCCCACCTTAGTGGAAGAAGTCCAGCAGAGATAGGAAACATCTTTAATACTACAGTTTGTCTTAGTCCCTAAGATGCCACTCTAATAGGCTTCATTAGGTCCCAGACTCAAAGAAGTAGGCTAATTAATTTGAAGTTTCCTGAGACGGTGTCTCCTTTCTAAAATTCTTGGCTTCTGTGTAGGGCATAGAGTAACTGTGATCTGCCTGTGATAAGTCACAAAAGGGAAGCTCCCCACCCCATCAGATCAGTAATAATGAAATTTGCAAAAATATAACTTCTTAAGTTTAATTCTAAAATGTTTTTAGAACATTTGTCTTTGGAATTGATGCCTTTCCCTTAAAAAATATATGTTCATGTGCATTATTTTCAAAGTAGCAATAAGAAAAGTGATGAAAACTAGACAATTTAAAATACTGAAATTCTTGGAGAGCATTGTATTTATGAATATTTCTCACTTTGGGCTAGTGTGATAAAGGGGGCAGTTTATCTTGGTCTATATCTAGAAGTTCACTCCACAAAGATGTTTTGTTAGAGTTAGTGAACATACCTGACCCATTACCCATAAATCCAATTACCATAGGTTATTTGTAATACAGCTATTTACAGGATACCACTGAATGCTTCTTGTATTTTATTTAGAAAAAGGAGAACAATCCCATTTAGTCATAGTAACTGCTTTTCTTGCTCACTGGTTGATTTAATTGCCAGTGCCCTATTTTCCTGAGTGTTTTCCTCTGAAGGTCATTGAATGAAATGGTCTTGCAAACACGTGTTTGGTGGTGACATGGGAGTGGGGTGGGTGAGTTTTGGAGTAATGGTCTATAATACTAATGTATTATATAGTATATAATTAAAACCAAATAAGTCAAGTTGACTATTCTTTTCCAGGAGCTGTACAGTATATTCAGTTCAGTTTTGAAAAACAACATTTATCCTCCCCTCTTTTAAAAAGCTTTGGACACTTGGCTTTCTAAAACAGTAATTCTGGAAGACAATTTAATGAGATATATAATGTGGAGATCATTTGAGAAATGTTTTCAACCTACCTGTTCCCTATGTACTTCTGCTTAGTATACACAGACACAGTTAGACAGACAAACAGACAAACATACACACACTCTCTCTCACGCACACACTTTCTAGCATTATGATTAAAATCAAGTCGAGGCTATACATTGATGATGCGTCTCCAGTAATTCTTGCTTTTCCCAAGAATTTCTCCCATTCCAAAGAAACACTGCTCAACTGATTAATCATAAAACAATTTCTTTTTTCATGTAAAGACTACCATATATTTATAGTATGGTCAATGGTCTCAAGATTTCTATTACATACATAAAGGATGCTATAAAGTTTCACGTTTAGTCATATAAAAACCAAAAAAAGATGAGCTACTTTAGTCCATAGCTGACAACTATTTTTTTAAGGCCACAATTATTGGCAACAGATACAATGTCAAACCAACTATTTACCTTATTGCATGCTACATAGAAATTGCATAGTCAATTTTTTTGAACAATGAAGAAACAAATGGAACCAGATGAAGTAGCTCTTTATATATTCCTTATAAAGGAGACTGTGAAAATAAATTATTCTGGTAGTGTGCCTTACTGGAAAATGGATTTTAGCCTATGGTAGGATGGCTGTGAGGGCCAATTGGGATCAAACAGACCTGGATTCGAATTCTAGCTCTGCCACTAACTATCTCAGTGATTTGGGGAAGGATAATACCTTCCCTAAGTTTTAAGGTTTTTAAATTAAAAGTGGAATAACAGTAGTATCTGCCACAGAGGAAAGATTAAATAGGACAGTTTGTTATAAAGCGCCTAGCCCAGTGCCTGGCACATAGCAGTTCCTCAGCAAACAATTATTAGGCAATTGCTGTAGCTGTTGCACTTGTGATAAAATTCTGAAGAAACCTTAATTTAATACCATTTAGGGTTACTTCCTACACTTGATAGTTTAAAATTTTATTTTTATATATTCCCAAACATCTGACTTATTATTTTAAATATGCATTGATTCTATTTATGAAGTTATATAGTTGTGAATTTTACCATGTATATATTAACCTTTGAAGGATTTCTACATAAGCAGTAACTGATTAGACCTAATCACATGTTTTTCAACTATTTCTTCTAGGGAATAATGGCCATGTTTAGATAATGAAACATAATGCAAACTAGTGGATTAGGTAGGGGTTTTAACACATGTTTTTAGAGACACATGTATTATCCAGCCAGTTCTTGTACAAAAAAAAAATTGATTAATAACAGATTGAACACTTGATAAACTAAGTGTCATGAAGGCAGGATGGGTACTTGGGTCCTCTCCTCATCCCCAGAGCTCAGTGTGGGCTGAGACTGCCTAAAATAGAAGGACCCAGAAACAACAGACACTGAAAATTACTTTGATAAATACAAAAAGACAGTATTTCAAGGAACTGTGGAAACATGAGGTAGGCTTAGGAGTCTGAGTAGACAGGAATTTTTGGAATAAATAGTCTTAGGTAGAGACTTGAAGGATTTTGATGTCTTGGGAGAGATTCCAGGCAAAGGAAACTAGGAAACACCAGGGGACCTAAGAAGAGTACACAGTATGTACTTTAGAAAGGCAAGAAAGTATACAAAAACAAGAGTCAGCAATGAGTATTAGAAAGACTTAGTTGAGAGTGGTGGCATGTGCCTGTAATCCTGTAACTTAGGAGGCAGAGGCAGGAGGATGCAAGTTCAAAGTCAGCCTGAGCAACTTAGGGAGACCCTGTCTCAAAATAAAATAAAACAGACTGGGGAGGCAGCTCAGGGATAGAGCACCCCTGGGGTCCATCCCCAGTAACCCCCCCTCCAACACACAAAGACTTGTTCTCTCTTGCCATGAAAGACTTCTTTGTAATTTTGCCCACGTCTCTTTCAGTCATTTTGGTTAAACAAGTATGCAGAATATACTAAAATTTGATATAAATGGAAAATCCATCTACAGGGTTGATTAAAAAATAACAATACCATGAAGAAAAATAGCCTTTATACTTTATTTATTTCTTAAAGAATTCTAGACTCAAAGCTGGAACAAATGGTAGAGATCCTGTAGTCAACCCACTTAAAATAAACATGAAGAAACAGAAAGCTTGAGTTTAAATAACTTGCTAAGTCTTCTCCTGCCTAGTTTACTGGAGAGACTAAATGGCAATCTCTTAAAAATAGAATTTGAATGATAATCATAGTAAACGTTTAGTTTGAACATACCAGGTTTTGGAAAGCTAATGTACTTTTCTTACACTTACCTTTAAAAATTATTCATTCATTTTGGTCACTTAATTGTTTTAAAAATTAACCATTTAACAGCCCTTTAGTTAGGAGTGATCTTTATGGGGTTAATATTTTTAGACATTCTTTACCTCTTATTTTCTGCATTTAAATGCTTCAGTTCATTTACATTTCTCCTCCCTTGATAAGATTTCAGCCTTCTAGAACTTCCCATAAATTTAGGTTTTCTAATATGTCCTAATGTAACAATATAACACCTTAACTTAAGTCCTTGGGTGTCAGGAACTGAGCTGGTTGAGTTTATTCTTATGTTTACATTGGAGATAATTCTTTTTAACAAAAAATAGGATGGAAATAAGGGTGGAATTATAGGCTTTAACTGGAAGCTTAGGCTAAAGTTCTCATCAGTTTTCTAAACCCCTTTAAATAAACCACCTTGAATTAATGAAAAATTGCTAATCCTGTTAGGTAATTTTTAAGTTATTAAAAAATAACTCTCCCAGCTTGAGATGTTTTATTGCCAGATTTTTTTTTTTTCTGGTGGAAAAGAATACTAGTCAAATTATTTACTCCTGCTAACTTATTAACTTATATTAATGAGTTTTGAACTGTCCTGCTTTTTTGCAAAGTTATGGCAAAAATTGAAAGCCAATGCCAGAATTATTGGGCCAGCTTATTTTTAACTCCCACCTGATTTCTGTTTTATGTATTTATTTTTGAAATTGGAATTTTTAAATTTGTTTATTTCAAGAAAAAAGAAGGAAGGAAGCTCACCTTTACTCTTTTCAAGCAGAACATTGTCTGTATGACATAATGGGTCTTTGTACATGGATCCTGCTTGATTTTCAGGGACTAGCTTTTGAAGTTGTAAAATTTTCCTTCCACAAGCAAGCATAAATTAAAGGGAACCTTAACAACCAGAAATGAAATGAAAGGGCTTTTCATGTGCTCAATTAATGGGATCAGAACCCTAAATAGCTGGAAAACTGACCAAAGCCTTTTAACTGTGCTAGTTAATTATGTTATCAGTATCAGTTTTACTCCTATGCAGTTGCTGTATGATTTAAATTAAACTTCCATTTTCTTGAATTTTGACTGCTTAATGTAGTTGAAAGTGACAGCTAAATATCTCATTGAAAAGAATTGAAATATGGGCATTTTTCTGCTAGATTTGTCTGCCCTGACATGGAGCCTTAGGATCATTGGCTACTGTCAACAAGCTAAGCATGCATGATTTAATCAGTAGTACATATAGTAATGCATGATTTTAAAATGTTAGGATATTTGCAGAGATTATTCAGCTCCTAGAAATACTATGTTTTCTGTGGAATTATTGATTTGCTTTATTAATAAAAAATTACATATATTTTAGTTTTTAAACTAAGGATAATTGGGAGTAGTTTACCTAGCTCTTGGATTTAAGAGAGATTATTGACATACACTAAAGGTCTTTAGTTTGCTATTTGAAGATGTCTTTAGAAGTAATAGTGATTAGGATGAAAAATATCCCAAAATGCTAAATTTTAAGTTTATATTTTTGTGGGAAGTCTGATTTATTTCAGTATTACTGAATCTCCTATTTTTAACAAAAACAAATAGTTTAACAATTTTTCAAGTAATAAATATAGATCAGTCTATAATGCCATACTTAGTGCTTATATTGTATTATACATACATATATAATATTTAACTGATGGCTGATCATGAAAATTAAAATTGGAGTCCTTGATGTTGTTATTTGAATTTAAATTAAATTTTTGGAGTTTGAAAGAAAATAGAGTAGAAAGTCTCACTATATTTCTCTATCCCTCATGGAACATGTTTCTGTGATATAGCAAATCATACACTCTGTAGAGTTCCAAAAATGTTCACTCGGTAAATTCTGCCTTTTCTTTTCTTTCTTTTTTTTGTACCAGGGCTTGAACCCAGGGATGCTTAACCATTGAACCACATCCCCAGCCCTTTTTAATATTTTTTTATTTTGAGACAGGATCTTGATAAGTTGCTGGGGCTGGTCTTAGACTTGCAATCCTCCTGCCTCAGCTTCCCGAGCCACTGGGATTACAGATTTGCGGCACCATGCCTAGCAATTTTCACCATTTAAAAAAATATATATTTTTGCATTAGAAAGAGGTATTTTTTAAAAGCTAGGACAGTTTAGAAAATATCATATAGCAATTTAATAAATAAATAAATAGGCCTGGATTGTAGTATAATCTCCTATATTTAACCAAAATGCTGTCATTCTGTTTCTCAAAAAGATATATGCTACCTTTATCAGAGTCTATGGTGATTTTTATTATAACAGTGTTTTTCGGTTATATAATTGATTAACCTCATTGCTCAGAATTTGCTGAGAAATAACCAGGTAAAGAAGATCAAACCCACTGCTTTTTGTAGTAATTAAATTTTAATGATTTAGTAACCCTTCCTAATTACAGTGGGCTTCTAAATGCATAATAAATTTTCTTTTAACAGGGACTAACCCAGGTATCTGGTGCAAACCGATAAGCACTGAATGTATTTAATCATTGAACACAGAGCACTTTTTTTTTGCTTGTTTTTCTGGTGTTCACAAAGCCTTTTTTAAGTAAAAGCTTATATCTAGCTCTTGCCTAATTCTAAATGTTCTATGAAACAAGTAAATTAGGTCACAATTTTAGGGCCTACAAGAAAGAGAATAACAGTCAGTTTTATTCTCTTTAAAATTTAAGATCCTGGTATGATTCTCTACAGGAGGAAAGGAAATACATTCAGAAAGATCAGTTATCTCAGATGCTTTAATATAGTTTTATTTAATTTGTTTTGTCACTTGGTAGCACTAATGGTATTACAAATGGCATCTGATTTTTACAATCAGCCAATTTGTTCCTTAAAGAGTTATTATAAAAGAATTTTCAGTATAGACATTTTATAAACATGTATTTCATTTTTAAGGATATGTTATTTACAAAGAAAAGGGATTCTTCTGTTTCAGAGAAACCTTGGTATTGGGGCTAAGGCTATTCGTTCCATATGGAATTATCAGACAAATATAAACTTTTATAATAAGTTGCTTTTGTGTTTCAAGGGATGTGATTTTATCAGAATACATTCAAATTTGTGTTTCTTAATAGATCTGTAACATAACATCATTTATTATTCATTCTTTCTGTTTTCATTCTTCTTATTTTTTCTAACCTATTATAAAGCAAAGCTGGCAACCTGAATATATCAAAAGCCATAGAAAAGCCATGGTGCCTAAATAACTTCCATCCAGTTTCATCTTTTACTTTGAATAGATGAATGGATGTTGCTACCATCTAAGCATATTTAAGTGAAATGAAGTGAACAAACTTTATTGTACAGACTGGGTCCCTTTGTCTTGAAAATCCAAAGTAAATTTGAGTTCACTATTTTATGAAATTAAAAGTGAAGGCTAATAAAAAACTTTTAAAGCAACAGTATTTTAATTTGAGTACTAGGTAAATAAATTGTAGAACTAAGTTATATATATATATATATATTCCCACTAATACATATAAAATAAGCAAAGAATTTTTTATAGCAATTTCCCACTATTATAATCTTCTCTCAAGACACAACTTGTTAATTATCTACAGATATATACAATCTAAAAATGTGGTTTCTGGTACTGATTTTACTGAATAAAGTTAAATTAATACCAGGAATGGTATAATCTGGGTATAGTTATTATAGACTTTTAAGTTCTTGGAGATAACAAAGCATATAACACTGAACGTAAAAGTTGATGTGTACATTATTAGTGAAGAACTAAATGAATATTTCCATTTTATAGGTGAGGAAATAAAGTCAAAGAGGTTCATTAAAATTTTAAGGGGACAAAACAGGTTAGCAGGAGTGTAAGGAGAATTAGATTTTATAAAGTTAAGATTGATAGAATGTGTATTAATAAATTTTTTTTGGTCTTAACTGGGGTCAGAGGTCTGTGAAATACGTCCTAGGGCAGCCATTGGGTAGTGTCAGAAGCAAGGTCCCCTGTTTGCATGTGTGTGCAGCAGACCAATCCGTTGGCAAGTAGCTGCCTGGGCTCTTCATCCTAAGTGATGCACAGAGGAATTATTAGTTACACTTAAAATTTCCTCTCTGGACCTGAACCTGTGATTTCAAATCAACCCACAGGAAGAGGTACCACTGTGCCCAGCAAGCAAAGATTATGAAGAGCTTCTATACTTTACCCAACACACATGAAGTAATATTAGCAATGTGTGTTTCATGTGTGGATGTACGAGTATGCATGTATGTGTGTATGCATGTGTCCATGTGTGTATGTATGTGTGCACAGATATATTTTACACATACATTTTAATTTCAGCGCTGAAAGGGGGACCCCTCGATGGCACCTACAGATTGATTCAGTTTCACTTTCACTGGGGCTCATCTGATGGACAAGGTTCTGAACACACTGTGGATAAAACAACGTATGCTGCAGAGGTAAGATATGGCAACAACAAAGGTTGTAAATGGCTAGTTAGCATTAATTTTGAAAGCTCAGTTTTGTAAATTCAACTCACACTAAGTGAACCACTTCTTTTGCAAAGGCCATTCATGTTTGCTTCTTATAACCTTTAATTGTAATATTACAATCAAGGCTAAAAAGCTTTCTCTAGTGTCCCCAAGGACAACATTTACAAAAAAATAAATAAATTCAAATGGGAGGAATTTGTTTTAGCATAAATCTAGAAAAAAAATTTGTGCCTTCTCTCAAAACATGTCTTCATCTTAGAGCTGTTGATAAAATCACTTGCTATTCTACCAAGTAGCAGATGATTTGATTGAAAAATGAAGGAAAAGCTTTTATTTAAAATTATCCACCATTTTCCTTTAGTAACTATTAGTTAAGGAGAAATGATCACTGGATTAAAGTCTGCTGGCTTTTATCATGTTAATCATTCACTATGATTTTTTGTCTTCTCTGGCTTTAGCTTCACTTGGTTCACTGGAACACCAAATATAAGGATTTTGGAAAAGCCGTGGAACAACCTGATGGGCTGGCTGTGTTGGGCATTTTTCTGAAGGTTAGTTGGTGGTCCAGTTCTTTTTCCTGTTTTCAAGAAAGATTGACCAGACAGAACATTTCCAACAGGTGTTTTACAAAAGAGCTGAGCAAATGCCTTTCTTTGGCCCTGAAGTGTTTTCAGGCTTACTTCTCCCTCCATCTCTCCATCTTTTCTTTCTGGAGGGGCAGAAAGACAAAAGTGGGAGGTTTTGTTTAGATAGTATTTACCTGGAAATTAGAAGAACAGAAAGAAGTCAACTATAGAGGACTAGTAGGTATGTGTTTTGTTTTAATTTAACCTTAGACTAAAGTATTGTTTGATGATAGACAACACTCAAGTAAGACTGAGTTCTGGAGGGCTCAAAGACAGAGAGACTCTGTATTGGAGAATCTCAGGCAACAGTGGGACCTCACAGGTTGAGCTGCCCTCTGGCCAGTTGTAAAGAGGAGAGTCAAACTGTCTGGACTGGCGATTCCCCAGCTCTGACATCATATTGAGGGTGGGGGGCGCGCTGCAGGTATTTTGAAGTCATCCCAGGACAACATAAAGAAGCAGGAGCTGATGAATCTGCTGGGACACAACCCTGAGAAACTATAAAATGTATGGCCTTGAAGGCAGTGGCAAGGGGTGGATTCAGTGACTACCGAGGAGTCAGAGACTCAAAGCTAGGGCTTGGGGGAAGCTGAAGGACAAGAGACTGTTTATAAAGAAGGAAAGGTGGAGTTGTAAAAGCCTGCAAGGAGGCGAGGGAAGGAAAGCGCTTGAGGGCAGGCTTTGCTGTAGCAATTGAATGTCACTGGGGACACCTGAAAAGATTGTTTCAGAGTTAACTATAGGGCAGAAGCAGAGGCAGGTTGGGAAGTGGCAGTAGGGAAGTCCAGGGTGTCAGTGCCTTCTAGCTAAGACACTGACAGATCACTGTGGCATGTATAAAGTGGTAGATTTTGCTTCACTTCTTAGAGAACGTTTATGATAGTGCTGCCCAAGTTAAAAATGCTAGAGCGTCAAATTGGTTATATTATCTTCCTCCTTGTGTTTTTCTATAGATTGGCAGTGCTAACCCAGGCCTTCAGAAAGTCCTCGATATGCTGGATTCCATTAAAACAAAGGTAAAGTTTAATTTTCTGCTGCTTTGGGGGGGTGTCCTTTTTTTCAATACTTTATTGGTTTTAGAAATTTCCTTTGATCAAGTTTTATTGACGTGGTAGTTGAGTGAACAGTTAATGAAGGTAAAATATTGCTTACATATTTTCTTTCTGCAAAAAGTTAGCCCTAATTCTACTAGAGTTCTAAGACTTGCCTTTATTGAATCTTTCTTCCGATCATTTGAATATCCTGAATGAAAGAATTGGAGAATCTCATGATTGCAAGGAGGCTGAAAGATCATCTGGTCAAATTGTCCACTAATTCATACAGCAAATATTTGTTGAGTACTTCCTATTGCCAGTCCACTTTGCTAATCCAGGAGATACAATGATGAACAAGACGAACAAAGTCATGCTTGTTGGAGATTTATGTTCTGTGACTTCTTTGAATTCATCCGTCCTGTGTTTAAATCATCTCTATAACAGAGCTGTGTTTGAGGTCAGTGAGAATCTGCTTAAACACTAAAGTCACTCCCAGTGATGGGAAGCCCATCACCAGGGGCAGCCCCAGCTGTATAAAGCTTATCCTCAAGTTGCAACAGCATCTATCTTCTGAAATGTGCAACCTCCACTCCTGGCCTGATCCCCTGATCTCATATCTTATGGACCCAACTCCTCTTCCACATGACCCTAGGGTTTCTCTCATGGCTTTTCACCTACCCTAGGATAATTATCTCTAGTTCCCTTTAGTTATTCTCATAGGAGATAGTTTTATCTCTTTAAACAACCTTGTCACTCTTCCAGGAAAGCTTTCTTGCTTTCATCTATTGATATTCAGCCCAGAGCCAAACACAGTTTTTTAGTTCTGATCTAGCTGTCAAATAGCGTGGCGAGACAAGGGCCTCCTCTTCAAGGATAATATATTTCTGTTACTGAAACCTAAAATTAAAAAAAAAAAATTATTTTAGTGGTACCAGTCACATTTAAAATACCAGATGTGATCAGCTAATGACTTAATGGAAAACATAAATGATTATATTAGAGGACAAAATGAAAAATGGACGTGTGAATATAATCAGTTCTTGCTCACACCTGCCTAATCAATATGTCCAAGTCAAATGCTTTCTATTCATTTCTTTTCACTTTGTTTGCCAGCATATCTGGAAATAGTGTATTAAAAAAAAAAAAAAAAAAAGGTTTCTTGCTGTTCCAGAGGAGTAGATTTACTTATCTTTTGCAGTCTCCTTTCGCCCTCCTGCTCTGATCACATGACAAAATTAACCTGTGGGTTTGCCTGGCAGGGTAAGAGCTCTGACTTCACTGGCTTTGATCCTCGTGGCCTCCTTCCTAAAAATCTGGACTACTGGACCTACCCTGGCTCACTGACCACCCCTCCTCTTCTGGAATGTGTGACCTGGATTGTGCTCAAGGAACCCATTAGTGTCAGCAGTGAGCAGGTCAGTTTTCTACAGAAAGGTCTGCTTGGAGACACTGAGTGTTTAGTGGAGGTGAAAGAGTTTGGCCTTTGGAATCAATCCTCAGATTTGATCCTCCTGCTGCTTCTAGCCATGCAACTAGTATCTGCAGCAGTGCTTAGCAAGTAATCAGCATTCAGCAAATATTTGTTGTTATTAGCCATGGCCCCAGGCACAGTTTGTTTAGTTTGTAAAATTGGAGGTTCATTGTGAGGATTAAATGAGAAAAGTATCTTTCACTATTGCATTTGGTTTTTTTTTTTTTTTTGATCAGCTACGAGGAAATAATGACTCAAACAAAAAAATGAGATTCAAGGTTACACAGATAGCAGTGAAAATTCCCAACCCACTGCTCACTCAAGTAGAAGCTTATGCAGTTTCATTTATATAAGAATGGATTTCTGAATCCCAAGGAAGGTGAAAGTCATGCTTTGGAGAAAAAGTATCTATCAAAACTCAGGGGGCTTGTTGCAGAGACTCAGAACAGACACTCTTACATTACCTGTACAGTGTAGATGGTCATGTTCAAGAACTAATGCAGCTTCTCAGGGATGAGAATCCACAGAAGTGGACACAAAAGGATTTTTCCTGGGCTGTCACATAGCACATAGATAAAATGTGGAAAATGGACATTTCTTAGGATTCACAAGAGGTTGCATCATGAATAATTTAAGGAGAGAGTCAGCAATGAGCAGCTTTGCAAATGACAAGTGTTTGAATAGTTGTATGATTTAAGCCTACAAAATTTTGGAATCGTAGAAATTTAGATATGCAGTGTGCAAGAGAGGTTGTGTTGTCCGACTTTCTCATTTTGCTGTCTAGAATGTGTTGAAAAACAGAGGTTCAGGAAAATTGAAGTGCTTTCCACCCATCTAGCTTGTGGTTAAATCAGGTCTGGGAGCAAGGACTCTCTATTCTTGTGTTCTCCTTTAGAATATTAACTATGAATACTAAAGATATTTTTTAGCTTTCTTGCTATATCTAACTGGAAACTTACTTTGTAGTATATCAAAATGGGCCAAAAAAATAATATGCTTGACTTGAAAATTGGCCTTGTTGTCATACATTTGAGCAACCCTACTGAAGTAGTAGCAAAAGCAAAGATTATAATGCCACATCTTATTTGAAGATGTAGTGCTTGGGTTATGGTTTATTATTATTATTTATTATTATTATTATTATTATTTTGGTACTGGAAATTGAACCCAGGGGCATTAAACTTCACTGAGTACATCCCCAGCCCTTTTTTATGTTTTTATTTGGAGACGGGTCTCACTACGTTACTTAGAGCCTTGTTAAATTGCCGAGGCTGGCTTTGAACTTGTGATCCTCCTGCCTCAGCCTCCCAAGAAGCTGCTGAGATTACAGGCGTGTACCACCGCGCCTAGCCTGGGTTATGATTTAAAAACATGAAAATTCTTTTTTTTTTCCTTCACTGAGAACAATTAAGCTTAAGATCCAAAGTCTGCTATTGATAGCTATTATGACAAATGGATTTATTATGTACACACACACCCATACACAAAAGTACCCAGAGAGATAAAAGCTATTGAACTGGCTCCATTAGTTCTTGTGCTCTGAATTGCCTTTTAAGGTAGAAAGTAATATTAAACTAGAAATATTGCATGTATTAGCACAATAACAATAGTAGGGATATTCTTCATATCATATAACACAGAAGGATCATGTTCAGATTAAGTAAGCCAGAACTCTGGTTCTTTCTTTTTGTGATTCTTTTTACTTACCTTGACCATTAATAACTTGGTGGATGCCAAAGCACTTTGAACATCATATCCAGGTACAGTCACCTCAAGGAGGAAAGAAACAACTCTTCTGTTCGTTCCCTAGGAACAGAGAAGCCTTTCTTCAAAAGCCTTCACAGCCTAACAAAACTTTCACATCCCACTTCTAACCCAGTCCTCAGGAAGGGAATATGATTGCCATGGTCAGTTCAGTGGCTTAAAAAGGGATCTGACAGATATCTATCAATGGTCAAGTGTGGGGGGAATGGATGTTAGGTATGGAATATAAAAGGGTCTGCTACATTCTGCTGCCTTGATTGGCTTTACTCAGGCTTTGTCTCTCTGCTGCTAAAATGATGAGTCAAATTGATCAATGTGAGAATATACTTTAAGTGGGAGAAAGGAAGTATTCATCACTTACACTGGATTGATAAAAAAATTTGACTTAATTGTACTTTATAAGCAGACTCTAACTCTTTATTTATTGATTGATTGGTATTTGGGATTGAACCCAGGGATGCTTAACCACAGAGCCATATCCCAGTCCTTTTTATACTGTATTTAGAAACAGGGTTTCACTGAATGGCTTAAGGCCTCCTTAAATGGCTGAGGCTGGCTTTGAACTCATGATCCTCTTAGCCTCCTGGGCCACTGGATTACAGGAGTGTGCTCCCACACCTGGTGACTAACTCTTTCATATTGCTAAAATTCTGTTGTGGTCAAACAACCCTATATGCCCTTTGAGAGTTCCCTTTGCATTGCAGTACCTGTAAGGTAGTCAGATACCTTATAGGTAATGTCCTATATCAGTGTTGACTTCATGGGGATTATTGGAGATATATTACTTTACAGAGATCAAGTTAAAGTCTACTGGTTCATGTATTTCTGCATTGCCCAAACCATCTTTCTTCATTTAGGGGAAGGGGGGACTCTACTTTTCAAACAACCTCAAAGAAGGTGGGCTATTGTCTGACTGTTGCCTGTGTCACAGCACTGAACCAGGAAATTGAAACAGGTGTAAAAGGGAATAAAAATCAACCATGACAAGGGCTTGAAAACCCAGCATGGGAAAATGCATTTTTGTGTTTCTATATATTTAAGCAGAATGCCAGCTTATCTGTCACTCAGCCCATAGAGTTTTCAGATCCTGGGCCTTTTATCTAATTGTACAGATGTTGTACTTATTTTCCCTGGGGCAAAAAGCAAAATTTTAATTTGGTTCGAGAACTGGTATTTTGTACATAATAAAGGCACGGATTTATAGACTTTGCTGTTTGATTTAAAATGAGAATAAGAAAGCAAGGTCAGATTCTGGGTGTTTTTATGAATGGATTTGTTACTGAAAGCATACATGCATAGTCCACGTGTGATTATGTACCTATTGAGTTTTGGCCATTGATAGAAGGTACTTGAAATGTTGGGGAATGTATTTCAACATTTAACACAAGCATATACGTAAATAATATTGTGAAACTTAAAAAATGTTTTGCTATGTCTTTTAGATGTCAAAATTCCGTCAACTTAACTTCAACTTCGAGGGTGAACCTGAAGAGCTGATGGTGGACAACTGGCGACCAGCTCAGCCACTAAAGAACAGACAAATCAAAGCTTCCTTTAAATAAGATGGTCCCAGAGCTGGTACACAAACAGTCAATCTTCAGATGTTTCCCTTTAGCTAAGCACAAATCTACCTTCGTGATATGGACCCTGGCTGCTTTGTGTCTGGTTTTCTGGACCCTTCACCTCTCACTTGACATGCTTACTGAATAAATGTGAAGAGTTAGACCAAGTGTCAGCCTTGGCAGAAGTGTTGTGGTGGGGTGCTTCTCTGCTTAAGGTATCATCTTTCTATGACAGGAATTTAATATAAGGGATAGGAGTGAATGAAACACCTTGACTTTGTTCACAGCACAGAGGGTGATGAGTACTCAACTCATAACTGTTTGTTGAAATGCTATTTTTAAAACATAGGAAAGTGGGATGATTGAGTGCAAAGCCATACAGAGACCAATGAAAGCAAATCAGGTAAAATAGTCACAATTTTATGTAATATAAATCAGACAAAATACATATTCATGATTCTAAGATGTTAAAGGAAGACTTTTAAAATTCTTATATATTTGTAGCAAAGTTATCTTAAACATGAATTATGTTGTGATTTAGTGATTTTTGAATTCTAGAGATGTAAAAGAAGTACGATCTATAAAAATGTTATAGTTGTGGTACAGAGTATATTTCCATTCAAATGACATATTATAAATTAACAAATATTGTATTTTAGATATATTCTGTAATAAAATTCAGAATTCTGTTTGAGTTATTATTTTTGCACATATGGCAGTGGGCAATTATGGAGGAACAGATGTCTAGTTTCACAATCCATATCAATTCATTGTTAATAATGAGCCATCATAATTGGTGTACTCCTAATTGAAGGAGTCTCCTTTAAGAAAAACCCGGAGGTCATTTACTATTTGCCAACCACTTACTCATCTAATCCTCATGACAATCCTGTGAGGGTGAATCCTGCAAGGGAAGGAGAACTGATGATATGAAATGTAGCAAGGTAGAGCAGGGAAGGAAGGGTGTATACACTGAATCCCTGTGAGCTCCTGGGGAATAAAATAAAGTCTATTTTATTTAAAAAGGGAATCCAAGTGAAATCTGGAATGAAAAAAAAAGATAAATTTTTATCAGAGAGGAAGAAGGTGAATGAATGAAATAAAAATCTTTCACTCTTATACCTCTATGGGGTTTAGCTCTGGGTCTTTGACCCTGGAATGCTTGGTTAATGAGTGATTCTAGACTGTCATGCTTAACACACAGCTCAGGTTCTACACTTCAGGAGATAAAAAACCCTTTCTTACTTTAAAAATTTTCTGAACTAATTTATTCTCTCATCTACTCTCCTAAAGCATGAGCACTGAATTTTATATAGGGGCTTGGTGATTTGCTTTGAATCCCAGCTCTTCCTGACTGGTCCTGGATATAAAGAAAGAATAATTTCCAGGGTGGAAATGCTTTACTCCCTAAGTTCATCTCATTTTCTTGGACCACACTCATCTCCCATCCTGCACTTGGTGGCAGGGGGATAGGAAATTAAACTGTCAGTAAAGGGCATCATCTCAAGTTAATCTGGCTCAGGCTACTTTTTATATAATAGAGATTGAACCCAGGGGTACTTAACCACTGAGCCACATCCCTAGCCCCTTTTTATATTTTATTTAGAGACAGGATCTTGCTGAGTTGCTGAGGCTGGCCTTGAACTTGCAATCCTCCTGCCTTAGCCTTCCAAGCTCCTGGGATTACAGGCGAACACCACAGTGCCTGGCTAGATTTCTTCTACTTTCACACTAGCCCAGATGGATGATGTCTGGGTCACTGGGGAAAGCTCCCTGATTCTGCAAGGTGTCCCCAGATCCTTGCCATACTCTGCCATCCAGTAGTTGGTTTAGGCTGGCCCCAAGCCCCACTCTGCATCTGCTGATGTGGAGCTTATTTCCTCTGGTCTCCTAGTAGAAGAACACTTATCACTGCCATTACCACCAGCTGCAAAGTCCTGTACCCGCCTATTCAAGAACTTGAGGAAGGGCCCAGGTGGGTGGAAACAAGAAGGAAGGGTCACACAGGACAGCCTTCCTCTTCTGAGTGAGGTAGCAGTGTCCTTGCTTCACCTCAGCACTCAGATTTGAGAAAGAATGGTGGGCAGGGGGAGGACACTGGTAATTGACATTGTCACTTCCTCTCCTCTCTTCCTCTGTGCACTAGGTCAGGAAAGGTTGGCTGTCCTTTTTTCCATGTGACTATGGCTTTTCTTACACTTTCTTTCTAAAAGCAACATCACTTGGACCCTTTCCTAAGACCACAATAACAGACAAAATACACAGAAAGAAGTTGGCTTCGCAGTTAATGGAAGTTTATAAAAAAATATTTCAAAATTAGTATCCATACAACTATGGATACACTGCTACCAGACTTTAGATTTCTTTAGCCTGCTTGGTAAAATCTCGAAGAAATTTGTGTTTCTCTCGTTTCTCTCCATCTTCTCTGCCCCAGATTCTTACCTTCCTTATAAGTGATGGATAGTGCTTCAATGTTTATGGAAAGATAGTGCTATATTTTGGAACTAGAATGTTCTAAAAGTTCATGTGTTTAAAAGCTTGTTCCCAATGGGGTGCCATTAGTAGGTGGTGGAAACTAAGAAATGGGGTCTAGCACAAGGTCTTAGATAATTGGGGATGTGCCCTCAAGGGGATTATGGGACTTGGTCTCTGCCACTTTCTTTTGGCTTTCCAGCAGCCATGAGGTAGTAGCAGTTTCCATGCTGCCCAATCCCACCATTATGTACTGCCTTACCATAGGTCAAAAAGCAGTGGGGACAACTGGCTGTGGACTAAAACCTCTAATACTGTGAGCCAAATCAACCTTTTTCTCTTTTTAAGTTCATTGTCTCATATATTTTGTTACAGTAACTCAAGGCAGCTAACACAGGTAGCATAGTTAATTTTCATCTAGTCTGTTTAACAGTTTGTTTTATGGAATGTAACAAAAGAGAACTCTGAATTTTAAGGTTCATGTTCCACAAATAGAAAATCACATAATTTCCTTTACATGTTTGAAACCCTCAAGGCAGAGAAACCCAGCATATTTGCTTGAAGTTGCATCCAGCCTCAGATGGAATTACATTCCCTAGAGCAGCATGATACTCCACCATTAAGCACTTGTCTTATAATGTAGAGGAGCCTGGATCAAGCATTAGAAACCAAAGGGGGACCTCAACCAATAGGGGTCTGAGGTTGCACTTAGAAAGATTGAATTCTGAGGAGTCCAAGGGACTTTGTATACTTTAAATCATGGCTCCAGAGATTTGATTTCCTCCACACACCTTTGATCTTTGGAAGAAAGTTTATCCCTGATATTATTAGAGAAAGTATGGTTCCTGGTCCTGAGAAGAATGATTCTGTCTTGTTTGGTAGAGGCATAAAACATCCTCCCAGAACAGATCTGTTTAACCTCTGTTACTAGTCTTTTATTTCCCCCCTTCCTTTACAAACCTGAGTTCCTACTTCTTAGAAGCTCCTAGAACTGCATGCTTTGTGGTCTGAGGTCTGTCCTCAGAAAGTTCTGGCAGGAAGAACGATGCCTTTCAGTCCTGAGACCTGTGTATAGAACATGTGTAGAATTTCAAAGCAATTTTATACACACACACACACACACACACACACACCATGGCTGGCAATGTATGTTTTCATATGTAAGATGTTTTATCCAGCCTATGGCTCTTTGGCTCCTTCAGGAGCCAGTATTGAAGTAGAATTTAGTATTATAACTACTCCATGTCACCTCCTAGCTGTATACCCTCAAATAGAAGAAAACTCAGGTATTGCTGAACAATTTAGGCTAAAGTTATCATAGAACAGAAATGTGCTTTTACATCATACATGAGTAGCATTGCATTTCCCAAATCCCATTCACCAATGATTTCCCCTCAGGGACTCTGAATCTGCCCTTGCTGCAGCCCTTGCCTTTGATGCCTCCCTTGGGCCTCAGTCTCTTCTCCAATTGTAACAGAGCAATTTAGTTCCACCTTCACAGTCTTCTTCATTCCAAAACATACATATACACTCACACATTCACTGAGACTCATGCATGCATGTGTGAACATAGCCACACATGTGCACACACATGTATCTGCCAGTTGATACTATGCTAAGTATGCTAAAGATTAGCAAAGGAAAGTTCCTTCAGTTTCTATTCTCCATAAAGGTGGTAAGAGGATTACAAATATTTATCTTTCTTGCGACTAATCATTTTTAATTCACACATGTATTATTTCTCATATATATATATGTATATATTCAACACAAAACAGCAAAAGTATTCAAATTGTACAAATGAAGACTTGGGCATTCAAAAAGGCTAGGCTACAGGTCCAACAAACAAGAGCAAATGCAGCAAAAAAACAAACAAACAAAAAAAAAACAGTGCACACCCAAGCTTAAATGCTATCTCCACTGTACCTGATGTAGGGTGACACATGAGGGCCCAGACTCTGTTCTCTAATGTATCAGACTCTCATCCCCATTCCTACCCTTTCTCAAAACTGGTAGTTTTGGTGGAGCTAAAACACAAGGAGTAGAGCTCAGCAGGCTGAGTGGCCAACTGAGGGCAATTTGAGAATGTGGAGTAGGCTGGGCTTCTCCTAGCACAGGGTCTGACTCAGAGCAAAAAGATTCAACTAGACACTCAATAAATACTGTTGAATGAATAGGTAAGTGTTTTTCTTTTAAATCAATGTAATGAAAAAGGATTGTGGATATTCGTGATGGTTGTACAACAATGCAGATATACTTAATACTACCAAACCGTACACTTAAAATTGGTCAAAATGACAAATTTTATGCTGTATGTATTTTATCACAATCTTTAAAATAGGAAACTGTAAATGACTTTTATACTATCCATCTTCATTTTGTTTGCCAAAAACAAACAAACAACACCCGCCCCCACATACTTATAAATGTAATTTAAAAGATGCAAAGGACCTTGCCAAGACATGGTACCAACGTGAGCTACATTCAGGGGTGGCAAATGTCTCAGCTTAATGCCTGGCTTTATGTCCCTTAGCTGCATGAACTGGGGCCCAGTTGTTTAATCTCTTTAAACCCCTTTTCCTCATCTCTAAAATAAGGATCATAATACTGGCTAACACATAAAATTCTTATGAACTAATCCATGTAAAAGACATATTATTATGCTTAGAAAGCACTAAAAAAAACCTCAACTATGA